GATAATCCTGTTATCTTGCACGGGGACGCCTCAGGAGGCCCCGACGCCCACGACCCTCGTCTTCGACGGGTTGGGGTTGCGGTTGTCGATTCCTCCCATTGGCGCTCCAATGGTGGTGCTCGGTATCTTTTCGGTCCCCTCCCTGGCCCCCTACAAACGGTCGCTAGGGGGGAACTCTATATGTTGCTCACCGCTCTTAGGTTTTCGGACGGCCCCCTTGTCTTCGTGACGGACATCGACGCCGTCGGTGCAGGGTGGTGGGACCGTCTTTTTGAGGTTCCTCGTGGTGCCAATGTGGACCTCTGGCGCGATATAGGTAAGGATCTCTTAGCCGAGAATCGGGGCCCTGGCTCCGTCGTTGTCCTGTGGGTCCCGTCTCGCCTCGAGGCTTCTGAGATCATAGCCAAAGATGTGCCTCGATGGGTGGTTGAAGGAAACACCTTCGCCGACGTTCTTGCTGGAGAAGCGGCTATGGCCGCCCGTGTTCCCGAGGCCCAGAGGCACAGAGTTCTGCGTATTGAGGCTGACGCATGCAGAATCCGCCACCGTCTGCTTCGAGCTACTCTAGAGGTTGCCGAACTCGAGCGTGTTGGTCGTTTGGGAAAACGGGCCCCTGCTGCTCCTGCTCGTGCTCCTCGACTCGCTCCCCCTGCTCCTGCCGCGGTGGCCCTTTTTCAATTCTGCTCACACTATCAGCCCATGCGGTATGAAGTGCCTGGTGTGTCACGGGTCCACGAGTGTGGCAGCCAAGGGGGAGTTTTTACAATCCGAATGCTTTCGGCCTGATAGGTGCACCAGTCACACAGTTCGGGTTCCTCAGGGGCGGCGTTTGCATCTCGCTGGGGGGTGGGTCCACCCGTTTCATCAGATGAGCTGTCACGAGCCTCTTGCAGTTTGGTTATGCGGATCTTGCGGGTGTATCGGCTCGCAGCAGCTGGGAGGCCTCGCAAAGGAGTGCAAGCCCCCGACCAAGACGGGCAAGGAATACCTTGCCAGAGTAGCCAAATGCCTCACGCCCAAAGTTCTTAGCACAGCTGAGAAGGAGGCTCGGTCTTAATTAATATTGGATTCGCTACGCGATAGATCTGAATCTCTGAACCTCCCCCTCCCCCTCCTCCTCCTCCTCCTCTTCCTCCTCCCTCCTCCTCCTCCCCCTCCTCCTCCTCCTCCTCCCTCCTCCCTCGTCCTTCTCCTCCTCCTCTCCTCCTCCTCCCCCTCCTCTCCTCCTCCTCCTCCTCCTCCTCCTCCTCCTCCTCCTCCTCCTCCTCCTCCTCCTCTCTCCTCCTCTTCCCCCTCCTCTCTTCCTCCTCCTCTCCTCCTCCTCCTCCTCCTCCTCCTCCTCCTCCTCCTCCCCTCCCCTCCTCCCCTCTGTTCCTCCTTCCCCTCCTCCCCCTCCTCCTCCTCCTCCTCCTCCTCCTCCTCCTCCTCTCTCCTCCTCCTCCTCCTCCTCCTCCTCCTCCTCCTCCCCCTCCTCCTCTCCTCCTCCTCCTCCTCCTCCTCCTCTCCTCCTCCTCCTCCTCCTCCTCCTCCTCCTCCTCCTCCCCTCCTCCTCCTCCTCCTCTCCTCCTCCTCCTCCTCCCCCCTCCTCCTCCTCCTCCTCCTCCTCCTCCTCCTCCTCCTCCTCTCTCCTCCTCCTCCTCCCTCTCATCCCCTCCTCTTTCTCCTCCCCATCCTCCCCCTCTCCTCCTCCTCCTCCTCCCTCTCCTCCTCCTCCTCCTCCTCCCTCCTCCTCCTCCTCCTCCTGTCCTCTCCTCCCCGTCTTCCCCCCCCCGTCCCCTCCTCCCCGTCCCCTCCTCCCCCCCCTCCTCCTCCCTCCTCCCCCTCCTCCTCACCCCTTCTCCCCCTCCTCCTCCCTCCTCCTCCTCCTCCTCCTCCTCCTCCTCCTCCTCCTCCTCACCCTCCCCCCTCCTCCCCCCTCTTCCCCCTCCGCCCGTCGGCCAGGGCGGCTCTGCCCGTGGAGTCCATGGCGGATGCCTCGTCGATCGTGACCGCTTTGCAGATCCAGCAGCCGGCGTGGGCAGCCAATTTGGTCCTCGTGATCGTTCCGATCAGCATCCTCATCTGATGGGCCTGTTTCCCACCACCACCACCACCATAAGTTGGAGGAGGAGGAGGAGGAGGAGGACCCCCTCCCCCTCCAACTTATGGTGGTGGTGGTGGTGGAAAACGGGCCCATCCTCATCATAATCTACCTCCAGTCGGAGAAGACGCTGCAGGAGAGGGACGCCGTGATCGGCAAGCAGAGGCTGTGAGTTCGGCAGCGTACCTCGGAGGTGGTCGAGCGAGGCGCTCCTGACAGTGCAGCTGTGGCGTCACAACTCTGCGGCTGACGCGTCTGATTTTTGAGAGAGGAAACGACGATCCTTCTGGTATAGTCGGTTGTGGGGCGCTGTACACTATGCCACATGTGCGCCCCATGACAAAAAAGAGGCTCGACGGGTGCACGTTTCTTCGCCCCCCCCTCCCCCCCCTTCTCGCCCCCCCCCCCAGCAGGCAACGCCCGGGCCCTCGTCGTGGTCGGTGTGTTGTCTTCGTCGACGTCGCATTGCAGGTGCTTGTTGCAGCCTGGTGCCATTGTGGTCGAGGTTCACTCCTCGCTCACCTGTCACTGCAGCTGTTGGAGCTCCGCGAGCAATAAAAATCGTTAACGTAGTCGTCGACGTGGTCGTCGCCGTGAGCGCTGTCGACCTGGCTGGCTTCTTCGCCCCACCCCCCCCATGTATTGCCACCCCATCAAGCACCGCCCGAGCCCTCGTCGTGGTCGGTGTCGTACTCATCGCAGTCGTCGTTGACGTGGTCATTGACGTAGTCAGTGACGTGGTCAGTGACGTGGTCGTCGGTGCTGTCGACTCGTACCTCGCTCTTTGTGCCACCTGTTTAGAAGCCGGCGGGGCGTCTCAGAAGCGCTCCGGTCTGCTGTGAAGTCCTCCGTGTCCCGGGGAAGGCTCAGAAAACTTCTCGGGAGGCCGGGTGATTTCCGAGCCTTCTGAGAAGGCCCGCCCTGTTTCACTCCCCCCCGTGCTCGCCGCCGATCGTTGCTACGCCGGTCGTCGAGACCATGAACTTGACCCCCGGCGCCGCGTGGAGATCTACAGAGTCTGACTGCTCTCTGGCCGTTCCGCGGCCGCTTCCTCCTCCCTGCTGTTGCCCCTCTGTGCCCTTTCGCCGTGGTTTGGCTACGGACGCGTCCCGCCGTCGGCCCGATCGCCGATCGCTTGATGGGCCCAACCCACCGCAGAAACAAAAGTCATATTTGTCCGCTTCCCTGGGCCAGAGCATGCTCGCGTTGTGAGGAACTCCTGACGGGAGGTTTTCGGCAGCTCTCCGCGCCTTTGGGGGCCTTGGCCCAGTCCCAGGACAGTCAAACATTCGACTCGTGAAGAATAAACCCGGTCCTGGGGGAAAGGGTCGGGTCTTCTTGGGGGCCCGTATGGATCAAGTCAATCAAGGCACTGCATGGTTGGGGAGGGCCATCGTGGCCACGGCAGGACACCGCTCAAAACAGGATGGCGCCCAGGACAGGGACAGGAGATTCGCCAATCAGTTCTTGCACTGGAGCGGGTCCTGGCGCATATGTTTCTCGAATCAGTGCTCGCTCTCAATGGGTCTCAGCGGGTATGGAAGGAAACGGTGCAAGTACCGGCCGATTCCGGCAAGTAGCCGGGCTGTCGGGTTCTTGGTTTTTGATGCTTGCGAAAATGTTTGGCCAATTCAAGTGGGCGGCCGGGTACACAAGGAGAGAGCAGATTAAGCAGGGAGAGAGGTAGAGAGAGAGAGAGGAAGTAGAGAGTATAGATAGAGAGCGGAGCGAGTTGAGGGTAGATGCTGTAAGCATTTTAGAAGCAAGAGAGAGAGAGAGAGTGGAGAGAGCGAGAGAGAGAGAGAGAATAGAGAGAGAGAGAGACAGAGAGAGAGAGAGAACATAACGAGAGGGATTTTGAGACGGAGTAGAGAGTGCGAGAGAGAGAGAGAGACAGAGAGAGAGAGAGAGACAACAACAAACATGGTATTCATGACCAGTTGTCTGAATATGTGTCCATCGTTGGGCTCTCCGACCCCGGGAGGAACTCACGTGAAAGCCCCAGGAGTTCTGCGATATAGGGCCCTTGGTGCCATGCAAGCGTAAAGAGCATGTGCAACACTTCATACAGAACTTGATGCCTAGCGGCATCGTGGTGGAGGCTCCAAGGGCGTCCTTGGGGGCAGCTCGGGGCCAGACGGCTTCCGAACGACCACAAGACGGCTTGAGGTATTCAGTAGGCAGCCTAGGACGGCGCAAAAAGGGACCAAGACGACGCCAATATGGCCTAGGAGGTCTCAAGGCAGCCAAGGCGGGTCGCAAGGTATCATCTTTAAGACCATCCACGAGGGGCCGACGAGGATACCCAGACGGCCAATTTTAGGCCGAAATCACATGAATTTCATCTGATTTTGCAAATGCATATTTTTTCACATCTCCGAGCTCAAGAGAGCACAAACGCGCCCCAATAGCAACATTGGTCCCCAAGATGGTCTTTCGAGGCCTGGGGTAGCCTCGAGGCAATTCAAAGAGGGTCCTGAGAGAACCTCCCGACGGGACCCAGACGGCCCGAGTTGGCCCCGAGGTGGCCCAATAGAGCCCAGAGGCAGCAGTAGCTCCAGCCCGGGAAAACTCTAGGGATCCCCTGGAAGCGCCCGGACCCACGAGGCCCGAGAAAGCAGCAGGAGTGCCCAGTGGCCAGACGATCTCCACCAGGGGCTCGAGACGCGGCGCCAGAACGCCCGACCCCTCCCCAAGGGGGTGGTTTTGCGTCCCAGATCCACTTCGAGAAGCGTTGCGCCCGATGACGGGCCCTTATAGAGGCCCAAATCGAGGGGAAACAAAAACGTCTGGATACAACCAATAACGTGACGTCGGAGGTCCGGGGATGCGGACGGCGACGGTCTCTCCAGCGCCAGCGATGGCGGCGGCGGCGACGCCGGCGACGGCGGCGCCGCACGCGCCCCCCTTCCTTGGGCAGGCTCGGCGGCAGCAGGTGGACGAGTGGCTCAAGACGCTCAACCAGCCCGCGACGCGCGCTGGCGTGAGTGCTGGGTGATCTTTCAAGGGGGGATCAGGGAGAAGAACCTCGAACAACAACAACAACAACAACAACAACAACAACAACAACAACAACAACAACAACAACAACAACAACAACAACAACAACAACAACAACAACAACAACAACAACAACAACCACAACCACAACAACAACAACAACAACAACAACCGCATATAACTAAATGTTCGAAGGTCCGCGCGGATTTTTAGGATCAGCGCCGCCCCTGGCGCCCTCTGCGCGCCCGGGAGGGTGACCAGCGCAGATCCAAAAAAAACGCGCGGACCGTCGAAACATGATGTTCATGCTACGATTCCTTGCTGAGGATAGCAAACGAGCCTGGCGCGACCCCAATTACGGGTCGTGCTTCTCCCAGTGCAATCCAAGACAGTTCTGAGCAATGGAAGGCAATGCGATGCGACGCTTTGCTCGGCGTTGCTTGGCATTGCTTGGCATTGCAGGGAGGAGGAGGAACCGTGCTTCGTTATGTTGGGTTTCCCGGGGCGCCCCTCGTCTCCACGGCGGGATCCGCCTGGAACTTTTTGCCAGAGTTCACCCCTGGACACGTTCGGGGATCTTGGTTTCGCTCGGACGTGTGCATTTTTTCTCGGCGTGGATTATTAAGGAGCATCCTGGATCATCCTGCGAACAAAAAACACGCACGAAACCGGAACAAAACACAGGGAACGGACGTCCGAGCGATGGCGAGGGATCGACATGTCACCCCAAACCTCTGGCGGATTATGTGCTCAACCCTGGCGTCGTTTCTCGATGGCTTCCTGCGGGTGCCGTCGTCTGGCCCCAGGGCCATCCGAAGCTGCAGTCGGGCCGCTGAAGCAGGAACCCTTTTCGTTGGGGAGGAGCTCCGTGTTCCTTGATTGTTTGGCATGCCTTCAGCTCTCTTCGGGACGTCGAGGTCTATTTGATGGAACGACGTGGCCTCGCCCCTTCTTCAGGGTTTCTTACGACAGCGTCTCGAGTGTCGTGCGGGACGAAAGCCTCCACCCGGAAAGGGGGTCGGGACCCCCCGGGGGCCCGCGGACCATGAAGGCCGCGGACCAGCCAGCGGCCGCCGCAGGCCGGCCCCGTCGAGGGGGCCCTGCTGCCGCCCTCGGTGCGTGCCCCGGGGCGCCTGCTGCCTCTCCCGCCCCCCCCCTCCCGCTCGGCATCGCTGGACCGACCCCCTGTCCGCATCCCCCCCGCTCAGCATCCCCGCCGTCCCACCACCGTCCCACCACCCCTGATGGGCCTGCTTTGCACCACCACCACCACCACCACCACCACCACCAGTTAGAGGGGGGAAAGGAGGAGGAGGCGGAGGATGATGATGATGATGAGGAGGAGGAGGAGGAGGAGGAGGAATTCCCTCCCCCTCCAACTGATGGTGGTCGCGGTGGAAGGCAGGCCCTTTGACCCCAGTTGGAGGATGATATGTGCGCCTCGGAAGCCTGATGGGGGCAGCCCATGTCCCCGTCTATGCCTGGGGCCCAGTGCCCACGCCGATGGGGGATGTGCATCGGCGGAGCGAGGGCACCCCCCCCCTCCGTCTGCGCAGAAGGAGGACGGCGGAGGAAGGAGGAGGGCTTGTTTTGTTTCCTCCAGGCAGGGGTCCAGTAACAAGCCTGGACGTGGCGAGACATAGGCTCCAGCAAGCAAGAACCCAACAAACGTGTTCACGGTTCGTCAGGAGGGGGCAGAAACACGCAGGCACAATGAACGGTCGACTCCCAGGGAATTATGGGAAAGTATGGGAAGTGGGGGAGAAGACAGAAACCCAGAAGTTATGTGAACTTATGGGGTATCCTGTTATGTGTGTCTATTCATGTGTGTGTCCCAGGACCCCTTCAGCTCGAGCGGACCCCAGCCTCCACAAGAGTTGCAACAGCTTTACGTTTGGGGTGGAGGCCTGTGGAGATTTGAGCCCAGGCCCACGCGCCGACATCTCCAGCTGGGGACTTACACAGGACTTTTCCAGGCCCCGATTCATCCCACGGGCGAGGCGGGAGGAGGAGGCAGGAGGGTTAGGGGGACGGGGAGGAAGGGAGTCGGGGGGGCGGGGGGACGGAAGGATCTGACTCGCGGTGGCGCGGCCCGCGGCGCGGCTTGGTGCTTGCGGCGACCTGCTGGCCTCTCTGGCTTTCTCGTGCCGACAGTTATGCCGAGCCAGGTGTGCGAGTGCACTCGGGCTCGCAGGGTCGCCGTCTGCGGTGCAGCTTGGCGTGGCGGTGCGCGCAGGGAGGAGGGCCCTCAGATCTGTACGTCGCAACAAAACGTGTGACGGCGATGCTGGCTGTCTGCCTCCCGAGGCCACTTCCAGGCCCCGGACCCGTCAAAGAAGGATTCAGGATGCCGAGCCAGACCAGGGGAAGGGGCCGAACCCGTCGTAGCCTCTGGGCGGCGAAAAGATGATGCAACGTGGGAGGATATGGTGACTAGGGGGGTGGGGGGAGGATGGATGTGGCAGGATGGAGAGGAATAGTGACAGGCAGGAGGGGGGGAGGGAACATCAAGGGAGGGAGAGGGGATGGAGGAGGCAGGAGGGAGGAGTGGACGTAGGAGTAGTGCGGTCGAGGTGCAGTGCGGCAGGAGGGAATTGTTGACGCTTCGCGAATCCCCACCAGCCCATCCGGAAACGGTGCCCAGAGGAATTGCCTCGATCAGGGAAGCGGGCAGCACACAGAGGAAGGGTCCACCAGTGGAGGCTTCTTGGAGCGTCTTGGGGGCCTCTTGGCGGTCCCGGACGCCTCTTAGAGCGTGGGTGCCTCGGAGAGCTTCTTGGGGCCTCTTGGGGGTGGCCTCCTGTTGGAGCTCTTTGGCCACTTGGAGCCGTCTTGGAGCGGTCTTGGGGCCTCTTGGAGCATCGTGGGCGCCATCTTGAGGCATCTTGGTATATCTTGAGCCATCTTGGAGATCATCTTTGGCTCTCCCAGGCGCTCTTGGAGTTATCTGAAGCAATGCCCCCCCAGGAGACAAAAATGTGGCCAAAACCTCAGTAAAATCAACGATGTTGGCATTGTCGCCGAGGCCTCTTGGAGCGTCTTGGGTGCCTCTGGGGGGCCTCTTGGGCCCTTTTGGAGGTCTCTTGGAGGTCTCTTGGGAGCCTCTTGGGGGCATCCTGGGGGCCTCCTGGGGGCCTCTTGGGGCTCCCTGACCACCTCTTGGGGCCATCTTGGGGCACCCTTGGGGCCTCCTGGGCGCTTCTTGGGGCCATCTTGGGTGAGATCGATCACAGGAGGGGGGGGTCCTAATTAGCGTCCCCTCCTCAGGAGGCCAAACTGGGGCCCAAACCTTTATAAAATCAATGATTTTGGCTTCCTCGCCACGGCCGTTTTGGACGCCCTGACACCTCGCGGAACCCCTTATCCAGGTCCAGGGGAGGGGGTAGGGGGAGGGGTTCACTTGCCAAACTTGAAGTTGTCAACTCCACTGCTCGCGCAATCATCCCACCCACCCACCCGCAACTTGGTTTGCAAAACCCATGCGGGACCGAGCACAGATATCGCTCCGGGGTCGTCTTGGAGCCCTCGGGGGCGTCTCAAGAGCGCCCCAAGAAGGCCGGAGAAGCAAGACGGCCGACGACGACGACGACGACGACGGCGGCGACGACGACGACGCCGACGTCGACGACGACGAAGACGACGACGCCGACGCCGACGACGACGACGAAGACGACGACGACGTCACCAACGAAGACGACGACGAGGGAGGAGGGAGGACGACGACGACAACGACGACAACGACGACAGCGACGACAACGACGACAACGACGGAGGAGGGAGGACGGCGACGACGCGAACGACGAAGGAAGGAGGAAGGACGGCGACGCCGACGACGACAACGACGAGGGAGGAGGAAGACGACGACGAGACGACGACGACAACGACGACGACGACGGCGACGAAATAGGAGGGACGACGACGAGACGCCGACGACGGACGACGACGACGACGAGGGAGGAGGAGGAAGGACGACCACGGCGACAACGACGACGGAAACGACCACGACGCCAAAGAGGACGACGACGACGAACACGAGGAAAGACACAGGACGACGTAGGCGACGACGACGACGACGCGGAAGGAGGGAGGACGGCGATGACGACGACGACGACGACGCCGCAAGAGCGCGCGCGCACGCTTTTGTTGAAAATCCGTGTTGCGAAACCTTGTGTTTTTGTAGGTTTGTTGGACGCGCGATTTTGAAATCCTTCCGAAACCCATGGGTTTTGAAGGATTTCGGCGTACGCGCGCGACGACGCGCGCGTCTGCACTTCGTCTCATTTTTTGCAGAGGATTCTCGCGACGGCACACGCGCAAGGGCGTTCGACAGATTTCGTCATGCGCGCGCGACGCCCGTTTGGTAGCATGTTGTGAACATCTTGAAAAACCAATGGTTTTCTTAAGATTTCGCAAGAGCTCGCGCGTAAGCTTTTTTGGTGCAAATCAGTGTTACGAAAACCTAAGTTTTTGTATGTTTGTTGGGAACTCGATTGCGATATCCTTCCGGCACCGCAGGTTTTTGAAGGATTGTGCGCACTTCGTCACATTTTTTTGCAAGGGATTCGTGAAAAAAGTGTTATGTTAGATCAACCAATGTCACCGCATAGTGTTTTTTACACGGGAATCTCAGGGGGAGCAACCCGGTTGGCCTGGGACATTTCGATTTTATATTTAGGATGGACATGTGGTCCGAATCATATGTGATTCACATACCCGAAAGGGGGGGCGATTACGCCGGGGGGGGGGGAGAGTCTATTCTCTTTTTAGAAAGGAGAATTAACCCCTCCCCGAAGGGGAAGAAGGAGGGTGGAAGAGGAAACGCTCTAAACCACTGACGCCCAGAGGGCTGGTGGGATTCGTGGGATAAGGGGGGGGGGCGCTGGGAATGGGAAGGGCAGTAGGGCTAAAATGAGGGAGGCGGGGCAGCCTATACTATACCATGCAGTCGGACCGAGGTATAAGATTGAGGTCGGTTCGGGGAGGGTACCCTAAAGTTCCCCGTGTATATTTGATGTTTTTGTGCACCCTGGG